GGGTAGGATCCTTGCTTTTCGGAGCAATCACTCTCTGTTTAGTGGAGACTGGCATCTGGAGGAAGCTAGGGAGGTTTAGCATGTAGGGTGCAGCTGAAGGAGTCCAATAGTGATCCCCCCACAAGAAGTCAGTATCAGGGAGTTGAGCCTCTCTCTCTCCCTCCCTCACATCATTGACATTTTGCAAGTTCCCCCCAGACCTGGGCTTGTGGATATACATGGGCTGGAGGCATTGCTATTCAGGAGTTTATGAACTAGTTGCAGAGGTGGATTATGGTTAGGCAAAGTGATATATTCCAAAATGTATTTCACAGGAAACCATCCCCATGAGATACACTTCTTAGATATTCTTAAGCCACTTAGCCCAGCGCTGGCACAAAGTAGGTGCCCAATTCATGTGAGTAGAATGAATAGATGAATAGTAAAAGTCCTAAAAAATCCTCTGGCAAAGAAATTTATTTTTTAAACTTTGTACTTTAAGTTTGCAGAAAAGTTACAGGAATAAATCAAAGAAATATTAAATAGGCTTTTCCCACGTGTTAACCTTTTGCCACATTTGTATTTTATTTATCTCTCTCTTTTACATACATATCTAGGTACCTACATAGATATATAGGTGTATGTATTATAAGTACACAAATATATATTTACTTATGTATGCAAATAATAGAACTAAATATATAAAGCATAAGATTTTATTTCTGAATCATCTGAGGGTAAATTTCAGACATCATACCCTCTTACCCCTTACATTAAAAATAAAGATATTATAACAGAAGCACAGATTTTAAAAATCAGGAAGTTTAGTGCTGACATAATACTATGATCTAAAATCTATAGATTTTATGCAACATTATTTCCATTTTCCCAGTGACGTCCTCCATGACTCCCCCGATCCCACCCCAGCCCAGGATTGCATCTTGCAGTTAATTGTCGTCTCCTTAGTGTCCTTTAATCTGGAACAGCTTCTTAGCTTTCCTTGTGTTTTGGGACGGTGATTTTTATGAAGAGAACAAGTCAGTTTTTTAAAAAATGTCCCTCATTTTGAATTTGTGACATGCTTCCTAATAATCCCACCCAGAGTCTGCACTGTGGGTGGGAATTGCAGGGAAGTAGTGCGACCTTCTCGGGAGGACATCCTGTCAGCACCCGTGTTACTGAGTGTGAACTTTGCTCCTTTGGTGAGGCGGTGCTCAGGTTTCTCCGCTGTCAGGTTACTCTTGCTTCCTTTATAATTAATAAATGATCTGTGAGAAGGTACTTTGAGGCTGTAAATATCTCCATTATCAAACGTCTACCTACTAGTTTTATGATCTTTTAATGTTAATCATTCTCAGCTGGATCAGTAACGGGGCAGGTGATAAGATGGCCGATCATGTTTATTAATTGGTTTTCTTCTGCCAAGAAAACTTTCCCTTTTCTCCCATTTCTTTCTTTCTTTATTAATTATGAGGTCAGACTCATGGGTTTTAACTTTACTTAATGGATTATAAACCGATTTTGGCCATTATTTGTTTTGGTGATTGAGGTTTTCTAAAACAATCTGCCTAACCCAGTGTCTCCTAAGCTCCCTTCCCCACAAAGTGTTTTTCCTGTGGGATTCCCACTGGTGTCCTATTGAGAGAGGGTTCCATGGGGTTTTCTGGGGGCAAACTCTGCAGCCAGGCCCTGAGAGTGGCACAGCCATTCTCTGTTGGAATTCAGGGAGGTGGGCTTGTGGCTGGGGTGATAGGAAAAGCCTTAGTAGGGAGGTGCCCAGGGTCTTCTGATAAGTCAAGACGCAGATGGCAGAGGAACGAAATGGTTGAAGATTTATGAGCTAGAAGGTAGATGGTGTGTTTTCACTGGAGTATGAAAACCAGCTTGGCAGGGAAAGTAGGCAGGGGAAAGGCTGAAATGAAGATGGGGGACATATTGAAAAGGGCCTTGACAGACAGCCTAAGGAACCTGGGAGACCTTGCAGGTCACCGAGGGCAGAGCAGGGCACTGATGTGATGTGACAGAAGCAGAGCTGGCGTGCAGGAGGATGGACCCACTTGGGGAGAAGACAGTAGGTAAGGCGCTCACATCCGTCTACAGAACAGGCGCCGGGGATCTTTAGTTTGTACATTTATGATTTCTTCTCCAAGAGGAAAGACATAGTTTCTGTGTAAACTTTGTAATCAGGACCTTGAATAAGCTTGGGGTGTAATGAAAAAGGGAAACTTGATTCAAGAGTTGAATTCTGGCAGTTTTGTTACCTCTTTGACTACTTTTGGTTAACAAGAAACCCTATGGTCATTTCTGAGTTTCTGGACACAGTCTCAGTTCAGGAGAGAGGTGAGGGCAGCAAGAAGGTTTTCATTTGATTGGTGTTGGGATAAGGTGGCTTCCCACCAGGGGGCACATGCGTGGGAGCTCTGACATGGGGTCTGTGATCGTCCCAGGCCGCTGCTCTCTCCCAGCCTCCGGTTTGGGAGGTCCCCTCCGCACAGACTCTGTTGGAGGTCCCATCACCTGTAGTTGGTTTTTTTTTTTTTATGTGTTTTTTTTTTTTGGAGAATGATTTAAACATTTCTCTCTCTCTCTCTCTCTCTCTCTCTCTCTCTCTCTCTCTCTCCCCTCTCTTCTCCTCTCTCCCTCTCTACTTTCCGCATGCCCTCTCTCCCTCTCTTTCTCTCTCTTTGTCTCTCTCTTATGCATGGCCTCCATTAGGTCCATGGTCAACACTTTATGTGCTTTCCTCTCCCGAACTCTGGGAGTGCATCCCAATCCCACACTGGCACTGCTTCTTCAGCTGTCTGGTGGGCCTACCTCTGGCTGTTTAGATGGGCCAGACCACCGCTTCCCCAGTACTGCAAAGGCCACACACTAGCTTCATGTGTGGTGCGGTGCTATGAAAGCCCGCTAATGATGTATGAGGAGCGAGCAGATACTTCTCTCCTGAATTTTGGAAGATGTGGAAGTCATACCACAGGGCTCTCTACAGAAACCCTCATCACAAATTCTCTACCTTTAACCACCCAAATCACCCAAACCCTTTCACCCTTGGTAATGTGTGAGGAGGCATGAAACGGTTTTACATAGATTTCCTCTGAAAATTTGCTTTGGGAACTAGCACTTCACTCTGTAGACAACCTCCATTTTATTGGGAATTCCATTTGTGGCCCTTTGGTTGGAGAGTTCTCCTTTTCTGACATGTGTTAATGTTGTTGACTGTGATAGCCCAATGCGTACAATACTCCGCTGTGAGCACAGGTCCACAGATTGGCCCTCTGCTCTCCGAGTGTGGACACCCAGGAGGCAAACCCAGAGGTCTGCATACTGCCACCTCAGCTGTCCCTGGCATTCACAGGTGTGATCGGCAGCTGGAAATGAGGTGAAATGTTTGATTTAAAGAAAGCTTTGCCTCGGTCAGCCCAGCATGGCAGGTGCGACACCTAAGTGCTTGTGGTGGGTCCTACTGTAGAATCTTAGGATTGAAGATGTCAGCACATACATAGTTGGGCTTGTAGTTAATATGGCCATTCTTACGGAATTTTCAAGAAAAAACCCTTTAGTTTTCGTAAGATATTTAACACATCCCCATTAACTTTACCAATTTTTCAGTAAGAAAACGGCTAAGTACACCTATGATATATTTCTCTGTTATTTTGTAGGTGGTGGAGAAAAATGCAGATCCAGAAACAACCCTTTTGGCCTACCTGAGAAGAAAGCGTATCCTGACTTTGGAGTGGGGTGAGGGAGAGGGCCGCTGGGATGCATTCTCTGGGTTGCATGTCATTTTCTAGTGACTGCTGGGGAGGCTGTGGCATGTGGAGGAAGGAGCACTGGACTGGGGCTCTGGACACCTGCATTCTAGCTGCCCTCAGCAGCAATGTGACCCTGGCAACTCATTTGAGTTCTGGGCCTGCAATTCTCAGCTATTGAATAGGAAGATCATTTTTTCAAAACCTTTGTTGTTTAGATTATTACAGATGTGCCTCTTTTTCCCCCCATAGCTCCTCTCCACCCGGTTCCCACCCCACACCAGGCCTTCGCCCCCCACCCCACTATCCTTGTCCATTGGTATAAGATTTTTCTCCAATCTCTTCCTGCACCTCTCACACCCCCTTTCCCCCCCACCCCGAGAATTGTCAGTCTGCTCCCATTTTCATGCACTGATTCTGTTACATTCACCAGTTTATTCTGTTCACCAGATTTTTTATTCATTTGATTTTTAGATTCACTTGTTGATAGATATGTATTTGTTTCACTTTGTTGTTCATAATTTTTTATCTTTACCTTGTTCTTCTTCTTCCTCTTTTTAAAGAAAACCCTTCAGCATTTCATATAATACTGGTTTGGTAGTGATGAACTCCTTTAGCTTTTTCTTGTCTGTGAATCTCTTTATCTGACCTCCAATTCTAAATGATAGCTTTGATGGGTAGAGTAATCTTGGTTGTAGGTTCTTGCTATTCATCGCTTCGAATATTTCTTGCTACTCCCTTCTGGCCTGCATAGTTTCTGTTGAGAAATCAGCTGACAGTTTTATGGTAACTCCCTTGTAGGTAACTAACTATTTTTTTCTTGCTGATTTTAAGATTCTCTCTTGGTCTTTTGCCCTTGGCATTTTTAAAAATTGTTTTATTGCTAAAAGTATTACAAAGAGTATTACATAGCTCTCCTTTTTTCCCCTCCCCTTGACCCTCCCGTAGCCTCCCATATCCCCCAGTGTCTTGTGTCCATTGATTATGCTCATATGCATGCATACAAGTCCTTTGGTTGATCTCTTACCATTCCCCCTCCCCCTACAACCCTCCCCAGCCTTCCTGCTGTAGTTTGACAGTCTGTTCAATGTTGCTCTGCCTCTGTATCTATATTTGTTCATCAGGTTATAATGGTCTTAATTATCCATAAATGAGTGAGATTATGTGGTATTTTCTTTCATTGACTGGCTTATTTCACTTAGCATAATGCTCTCCAGATCCATCCATGCGAATGGTAAGAAGTTCCTTCCTTTTCACAGCAGCATAGGATTCCATTGTGTAGATGG